AACTCTAGGATTCTATGACTCTATGAGAGGCTGGATGGCCATCTGCCAGGGGTGCTTTGAATGCAATATTCCTGCTTCTTGGCCGAATGGGGTTGGACTGGAGGATGGCCCAGGAGGTCTCTTCCCACTCTAGGATTCTATGACTCTATGAGAGGCTGGATGGCCATCTGCCAGGGGTGCTTTGAGTGCAATATTCCTGCTTCTTGGCCGAATGGGGTTGGACTGGAGGATGGCCCAGGAGGTCTCTTCCCACTCTAGGATTCTATGACTCTATGAGAGGCTGGATGGCCATCTGCCAGGGGTGCTTTGAGTGCAATATTCCTGCTTCTTGGCCGAATGGGGTTGGACTGGAGGATGGCCCAGGAGGTCTCTTCCCACTCTAGGATTCTATGACTCTATGAGAGGCTGGATGGCCATCTGCCAGGGGTGCTTTGAGTGCAATATTCCTGCTTCTTGGCCGAATGGGGTTGGACTGGAGGATGGCCCAGGAGGTCTCTTCCCACTCTAGGATTCTATGACTCTATGAGAGGCTGGATGGCCATCTGCCAGGGGTGCTTTGAGTGCAATATTCCTGCTTCTTGGCCGAATGGGGTTGGACTGGAGGATGGCCCAGGAGGTCTCTTCCCACTCTAGGATTCTATGACTCTATGAGAGGCTGGATGGCCATCTGCCAGGGGTGCTTTGAGTGCAATATTCCTGCTTCTTGGCCGAATGGGGTTGGACTGGAGGATGGCCCAGGAGGTCTCTTCCCACTCTAGGATTCTATGACTCTATGAGAGGCTGGATGGCCATCTGCCAGGGGTGCTTTGAGTGCAATATTCCTGCTTCTTGGCCGAATGGGGTTGGACTGGAGGATGGCCCAGGAGGTCTCTTCCCACTCTAGGATTCTATGACTCTATGAGAGGCTGGATGGCCATCTGCCAGGGGTGCTTTGAGTGCAATATTCCTGCTTCTTGGCCGAATGGGGTTGGACTGGAGGATGGCCCAGGAGGTCTCTTCCCACTCTAGGATTCTATGACTCTATGAGAGGCTGGATGGCCATCTGCCAGGGGTGCTTTGAGTGCAATATTCCTGCTTCTTGGCCGAATGGGGTTGGACTGGAGGATGGCCCAGGAGGTCTCTTCCCACTCTAGGATTCTATGGCTCTACGAGAGGCTGGATGGCCATCTGCCAGGGGTGCTTTGAGTGCAATATTCCTGCTTCTTGGCCGAATGGGGTTGGACTGGAGGATGGCCCAGGAGGTCTCTTCCCACTCTAGGATTCTATGACTCTATGAGAGGCTGGATGGCCATCTGCCAGGGGTGCTTTGAGTGCAATATTCCTGCTTCTTGGCCGAATGGGGTTGGACTGGAGGATGGCCCAGGAGGTCTCTTCCCACTCTAGGATTCTATGACTCTATGAGAGGCTGGATGGCCATCTGCCAGGGGTGCTTTGAGTGCAATATTCCTGCTTCTTGGCCGAATGGGGTTGGACTGGAGGATGGCCCAGGAGGTCTCTTCCCACTCTAGGATTCTATGACTCTATGAGAGGCTGGATGGCCATCTGTCAGGGGTGCTTTGAATGCAATATTCCTGCTTCTTGGCAGAAGGGGGTTGGACTGGAGGATGGCCCAGGAGGTCTCTTCCCACTCTAGGATTCTATGACTCTATGAAAGGCCAGGTAAATGACCTTGGAGGGCCGTAAATGCTTGTGGGTTACAACGTATCTGCTTATTCGCGTGACACTTAATTCTTTGTTCTACAATGACCTCCGTCCCTCCAACCCTCTGGTGCCCCCACCACCACCCTTTCCCACAGGTCAGAGCCCACCTCCCACCCACCCACCCACCCCCCACCATGGACTTTGATGGCCAGTCCAGGTGTCCTTGCAGCCTCCTGTCCTCCCTTTCGGCCATTGTGTCGGGACCGGAGGTCATCGTTGCATGGCATGTGCAGGGATTATGACCGCAGCACTTGACCAGTTGTACACAACAGCCCCCCCCCCCCCGAAAGGAGGAGGAGGAGGAGGCTTCTCTTGGCCTTCAGGAAGAGTTTAATGTCTTGGGATCCTCAAGACAAGACTCCACGTGTGTGTGTGTTCTTCCTAAATGTGAGTGTATCCCAACCCTGCAATATGCCTGTGAGATGTGGACTGTCTACAGACGTCACATGCAACTCCTGGAACGATTCCATCAGTGCTGCCTCCGGAAAATCCTGCAAATCTCTTGGGAAGACAAGCGGGGAAACATCAGCGTGCTGGAAGAAGCAAAGACCACCAGCATTGAAGCGATGGTCCTCTGCCATCAACTCCGCTGGACCGGCCATGTTGTCCGGATGCCTGACCACCGTCTCCCAAAGCAGTTGCTCTACTCTGAACTCAAGAATGGAAAACGGAATGTTGATGGGCAGGAAAAGAGATTTAAAGATGGGCTCAAAGCCAGCCTTAAAACTCTGGCATAGACACTGAGAACTGGGAAGCCCTGGCCCTTGAGCGCTCCAGCTGGAGGTCAGCTGTGACCAGCAGTGCTGCAGAATTTGAAGAGGCACGAATGGAGGGCGAAAGGGAGAAGCGTGCCAAGAGGAAGGCACATCAAGCCAACCCCGACCAAGACCGCCTTCCACCTGGAAACCAATGCCCTCACTGCGGAAGAAGATGCAGAGCAAGAATAGGGCTCCACAGCCACATACGGACCCACAAGATCGCTGGAAGACAATCATCCTCGGAAAGCGAGGGATCGCCTAATGAAATGAAGGGCCATAAATAACCTTCGTGGCTTTAAACAATCCCTGTGCATCATGAACACAGGGATTGTGGCGCAGCTGGCTGAGTGTCAGCTGCATTAAGATCACTCTGACCAAAAGGTCATGAGTTCGAAGCCAGCCCGGGCTGGAGTGGGTTTCCAACCAATTGTGTAGCCTGTTGTCGACCTTTGCAACCCGAAAGACAGTTGCATCTGTCAAGTAGGAAAATGAGGTACCACCTTAAAGTGTGGGGAGGCTAAATTAACTGATTTATGAGGCCATAAAGGAGACTCCAGCAAAGCATTTCAGCGGGGAAGCAGGCCAACTTGGGTCCTCCCTCCCTCCAGGTGTTTTGGACTCCAACTCCCATCATTCCCAATAGCCTCAGGCCCTTTCCTTTCCCCCACAGCCGTACATGCCTAGTACAATAATGTAATATATCAGTAGGACCCCCTCCTTCACTCTAGACATGACCCCCTTTTTCTCCCCCCAGCGCTCTGAATAACTCGGATGCCCACAGCGACCTGGTGGACATCGAGGGACCCTCCGGCCAAGAAGCTCACCTTCGACCAAGGTCAGTGACCCCTTCCCCTCCAATGAGTTTGGGGTGATTGCCCTTGGCATATGGGAGTTGTAGTTGGACCCAGCCAGTGATGGATCTGGTACAAACTTGGCCCACTGACCCAACATGCAGCCCTTCTTTCTGGGCATGCGCGGCGCTCTGCACATGCTCTGCGGCACCGCTCCCGGCTTATACTTCAGGGGTGGAGTTTCCAGCTGTGGATTCCGGCACCCCAATCTTTCCTTCCTTCCCTTTCGGGGTCCTTTGACAGCTGGGCCTCCTCCCCCTCCCCCATTTCCAAATCACCCCCCACCCCGGTAGACCCACCCCACCCCATCCCAAACCCAAGTAAACAAACCAAGTCCCAGGAGGTTCCTTTTGTCCTTTCCGTCCTTTATTTGGGCTTTTCACGCGGGGCGCCGAGGCATGCGCTGTGGGAGGGGGGTGGGAGAGAGGGGGGTCCTTTGGGGGCCTGTCTGCAAAGGGAGGGGCTGCGTACAAATTAAGGAGACCCGGATTTGGGGGCCAGGCCTTTCCTGGTGGGTCTGGGGTCGACCAGATGTCCTCGGGGTTCCTCCTGGGTCCTGGGAGGGACCTAAAGGGCATCTAGACCACCCCAAACCCAAGAGGGACCCCAAGGGCATCTAGACCACCCCAAATCCACGATCGAGAGGCCCTTTCGAGCTCCCTTGGGTCTGGGGAGGTCTGTATGCCCTGGGGGGCATTGCTGGGGTGGTCTAGATGTCCTTTAGGGTTCCTCCTATGTCTGGGTTGGATTATATGTCCTTTGGGGTCCCACCTGGGTCTGGGATGGTCTAGATGCCCTCAGGGTTCCTCCAGGGTTTGGGGAGGTCTAGGTGCCCTTTAGGGGTCCCTCCTATGCCTGGAGTGGTCTAGATGTCCTTTGGGGTCCCACCTGGGTCTGGGATGGTCTAGATGCCCTCAGGGTTCCTCCAGGGTTTGGGGAGGTCTAGATGCTCTTTAGGGGTCCCTTTTGCATCTGGGGTGGACTAGATGCATTTTGGACCCTCGTATATCTGGGGTGACTAGATGTCCTTTGGGATGCCCTCGGGGTTCCTCTTATGCCTGGGGAGGTCTCGATGCCCTTTAGAGTGGTTTAGATGCCCTTTGGGGGTCTCTCTGGGGTCTGGGGTGGTCTCGATGCCTTCGGGGGTTCCCCCACAACCTCGGTGGGGCGTAATGCCATTGTGAGGGGAGGGGTCAAGGCTGGGGTCAAAGGGGAAGGGTCACCTGCAGCAGCAGCGGCGGAGGTGCCTCGGGCGACTATACAGTTCAAATATAGAGATATATTTATAGAGATATATATGTATATATAGAGATATTATGTATATATATAGATATGTATTCCTCTGATCACATTTCCCTCTTTAAATAAACAGTATATACATATCACAGCAAAGAGAAGGGGAGGGGGAGTAGCCACGAGGGGGTTTGGGGAGGGGTCAATTGGGGTCGGGGGTCAGTGCCCCCTCCTGGTCTAGATATAAATGGGGGGCAAAGGTCACAGTGAGTCTCATTAGGAGGGGGCAGAAGGGGGGTCCCAATGGGGTCCTCTGGAGGGGGGTCCAGGCCCTGGCTGTGGACACTGGGCCCGTCCTCTGGGCAGGAAAAAGACACCTTGACCATGGCTTTGGGCTCAGCTCAGGAAGGGGGGGCTGCTTTTGGTTCGGGGGTTATTTGGGGGGGTGCCTGGGTGGCTACATTTGGGCAAGGGGGGTTATTGGGGGGGGATAAATGGCACATGAGGGGCGACGGCTGGTCTCTCGCTCCGGGTCACAGCTCCGAACAGCGGTCCTGTTTGTTGTAATGGTCAAACTGGTTCTTCCAGTGCATCATGTAGGCGCTCCAGAGGTGGAACTCCAGCTTCCACTGCCTCTCCGCCTCCTCGATGTTGTCTGGGGGGCAGCGGGGGGGGGGGGGGGGCGGGGGAGGAGGGGGAAGGGAAGGGGAAAGGGCAAAGTGAGGGAGGGAGAGGAAGTGGGGAGGGAGGACAGGACACAGGAAAGGGGAAGGGAGGGAAGAAAGAAGGAAGGAGAGAAGGGAAGGCAAGGAAGAAAGAGAAGAAGGAAAAGGAGGAAGAAAGGAAAGAAGGAGGGAAGGAAGGAAGAAAGAGAAAAGAAGGAGAAGAAGGAAGGAAGGAAGAAGGAAGGAAGGAAGGAAGGAAGAGAAGAGGAGGGAAAGAAAGAAAGGGGAAAGAGGAAGGAAAGAAGGAAGGAAGGAAGGAAGGAAGGAAGGAAGGAAGGAAGGGAAAGGACAAAGGAAAGGGAGGAAGCAGGAAGGAAGGAAAAGGAAAGAAGGAAGGAAGGAAGGAAGGAAGGAAGGAAGGAAGGAAGGAAGGAAGGAAGGGAAGGAATGGGGGAAGGAGGGAGGGAAGGAGGAAGAATGGAAGGAGAAGGAAGGAAGGAAGGAAGGAAGGAAGGAAGGAAGGAAGGAAGGAAGGAGAAGGAAGGAAGGGAAAGGACAAAGGAAAGTGGAGGAAGCAGGAAGGAAGGAAAAGGATGGAAGGAAGGAAGGGGGGTGGAAAGGGAAGGAAGAAAGTAAGGAAAGATGGAAGGAAGGAAGGAAGGAAGGAAGGAAGGAGAAGGACAAAGGAAAGTGGAGGAAGCAGGAAGGAAGGAAAAGGATGGAAGGAAGGAAGGGGGGTGGAAAGGGAAGGAAGAAAGTAAGGAAAGATGGATGGAAGGAAGAGGAAGGAAGGAAGGAAGGAAGGAAGGAAGGAAGGAAGGAGAAGGAAGGAAGGGAAAGGACAAAGGAAAGTGGAGGAAGCAGGAAGGAAGGAAAAGGATGGAAGGAAGGAAGGGGGGTGGAAAGGGAAGGAAGAAAGTAAGGAAAGATGGAAGGAAGGAAGGAAGGAAGGAAGGAAGGAAGGAAGGAAGGAAGGAAGGAAGGAAGGAAGAAAAACCCAAGGGAGAGAATGAAGAAAGAAAAGAATATTAAGGTTGAAGAGTTAAGAAGAGGAAGAGACGGAGGGAGGCTGGTGTGGGAAGCGCTTGTCCAGGGCTGCCCCCCCCCCCAATTTGGAATGCAAAGCCCAGGGAGGGTCTCTCCTTCTCTGTCCATCAGGCAGCACAGTGGGGACCACTCCCCCCCATTTTGCGACCTCGCCACTTTCATGGCTTCCACAGGCCTCCCAGTGCCCCCTGCCCACCCCCTCCCCACCTGCCCCCCACCCTCCAATGTGCAAAGAGAGTGTTCCTCAAAGAGCAAGCGAAGGGGGCGGGAACCTCATGGAGACACATTTCCTTTCTTGAAGATGGGGCCCCCCTCTCCCCCTCCCAAGGGCCTTGCTCCAAAGGGACCCCCAGGGGCATCTCTGAAGGAACCGTCATCCTCTTCCATTATTATGCGCTCCTTTCTGTGCATCTGACTGTGCACCCTAACCCCCCCCCCCCCGGCCTTTCTGCGACATGGTGATGGCTTCCCCAAAATGTGGGGGGCCTGGACCCCCAGTAACAATCCCTGGCCCCACGACATTTCCCTTCAGTCCCAGGTGACCAGCATTGCGCTGCAAAGCACCTTCCATGTGCCATGCGGCCCTTTGCCCTCTTCTTTGGGTTTGGGTCACTCGCCTCGTTCCCAAATGCTCTAGAAGTTCCAAGATGCAGCAATAACAGAGATTTGGGGGGCAAAGGGAACCTTTCATGGAATGGAAGCAGAGTTCAGATTGCTGCCGTGCTCTCCTTTGGGGCGTCTCTCCGAACAGGTCCATGGTGCACCATTCTGATTGGCTCTGAGCAATTAGAGGGGGGTCTACAGAGGCCCCCTCCACCAGGCCCATGGTGCACCATCCTGATTGGCTCTGAGCAATTGGGGGGGGGGGTTACAGAGGGCACAATGACTCCCCCCTCCACCAGGCCCATGGTGCACCATCCTGATTGGCTCTAAGAGCAATTGGGGGGTCTATGGGGGGCACAATGACTCCTCCCTCCCCTTCACATTAGAGCCCCCTCCCCCTCTGCTTGGACCCCAACCAAGGGGGAGGGGTCCCGAGGGTCCTCTATCTGCTCCTGCCCCTCGGCTGCACTTCAGGCCTTCGGTGGCGCTTGTGTCCGGTGGGTGTCCACGTGTTGAGCGGGAGCAGAGGGACAGAGCGTGGATCCGGCCTCTTAAGGCGACTGCCTGCTGCCTGGATGGACAGACAGGGCAGAGCGGTCAAGGCTCCGTTTCTCCAAACCCTGCAATGGCCTTACTGCTTTGGCCTGTGTGTATGAGGGCCACGTGTGGGGAGCAGCCGCCGGCCTCCCCTCTCATTCACCGCCCCGCCTCCTAGTGTCCAGGGCCCCTCACTGCTCACACTGGCTGACCGCTAGTCCCAGCTGCTCAGTCTCTGGCCACTACGCGGCCCCCTCCTTCCCTCCCTTTCCAGCCAGTGGTGTGCCCAACGCAAGGGCCAGCAGCCCCTTCCTCCTCTGGTCCCGATCTGCTTGTCGCTCAGGACAGGAGCATCCAGAGGAGGAAGAGCAGAAGGAGCGGCAGCAAGATGGCGCAGGCCGAGGGGGGGCCGGGGCCGGAGCTGGGCCTTGGGGTCTCCCAGGGGGGAGGAGGAGGAGGAGGAGGAGGAGGGCCGGTGTCCGGACAAGATCTGGACGACTCTGAAGGGAGAAGAGAACCAGGCGTTACGGCCGAGGCCTTGGAGGGGAAGGGGTGCTGGAGGACCCCAACCATCACCCAGGAGGGTTAATAATGGTGGGAAATCCCCCCCCCCCATACCCTTGGTCAAACTGCTGTGGCCTCATGTGGGACAGAGGCAGCAAAGGAGCAATGTCAGACAGTGACGAAGGGAGTGTTACATCGATAATGCACTGCTAGATAAGAATGCATTGACTGTCACCCAATTGACAATACTGTTGGAAAATACAGTTCTAATGGACATGTGGTCACACATCCACTGAAAGGTTGAGTAATGGCAAACAGTGAAGAAGGGGGTGTTAGGTAGGTAATGCACTGGTAGGTAGGAATGCATTGACTGTAACCTGTGCAATACCGTTGTGAAGAGACATCAACTGGAATCTGTGATATTCACTAATAACAACTTTTATGATATTTGTGAAGGATAACTGCTCAACAAGTGTGCTTAACTATATTTGCATAATGTCTATCAATCGCTACTTTGATTTGCAAACAACACAGTGTATTGATAATTGCCTCACAACCTCAGAGGATGCCTGCCATCGATACAGGCTAAACGTCAGGAGAGAATGCTTCTGGAGCATGGCCACAACAACCCAATTGCCTAATAGCTTAACAATAATGCAGATTGCTATTGACCACTGCTCTGCATCTCACCTCAAAGCTAGTTCTGGTTAGCTGTACCAGCGTCCGAGAAAGGGCAGCTCGGCCCAGGACGGAACTTCAAAAGAACAGGCTGAACGGGTCGTGTGCTAAGACGTCAACGTTTAAGCGCAGAGTGATGTACTAACTAGGGAGTAAAACTGGCAGACACAGCAAGGCCCTCAATCTCCTCACAGGTGATGGGAATAAACGAGGAGGCTAATTAGCTAGCACTGACATAATGGCTTTATGGCGTCTGCGCACGGCAATAAAAGATGATGGAATGGCTTTATGGTGCCTGCGCACAGAAAAGGAAAAGTTTCCTGGGAAGAGAAAGTTGTGGTCTATAGCAGGGATCCACAAACTTTTTAAACAGAATGAATTCTTATGCATACTGCACATATCTTATTCGTAGTGAAAACAAAACCACTTTAAAACAATACAATAATTAAAATGAAGGACAATTTTAACAAATATAAACTTATTAGTATCTCAATGGGAAGTGTGGACCTGCTTTTGGCTGGTGAGACAGGATTGTTGTTGTTATGTGCTTTCAAGTCGTTTGAGACTTAGGTTGACCGTGAGCAAGGGCCAGGTAAATGACCTTAGAGGGCTGCATCTGGCTCCCAGGCCTTAGTTTGAGGACCCCTGGTCTATAGAAACAGAAGCTGGGCCGAGCTGTGGCGTGGGCTTCCATTTGTTTGTAAAGCTCACTGTGCATTTTTCTGATCAATAAACTCACTATAACGGAGACCTTCTGTCTCTATGGACTATTTTGGGACTTGGATACTAGGGAGTATTATCGGCTGGCTCTCCAGCAGACGGGAAACAGATCCGGGTAATTTCAGTTGGAAAATGCAGTTCTAATGGACATGTGATCACACACCCCTACTGAAGGGTTACGTGGGTGGTGGTGTGGAACTTGAGAGACAGGCAACATTAGCTGAGCCACGGCCATGTGACTGTCATGATGAGGGTTGTGTCATCAACGTTTGTCCCCCTCTCGCTTCTCGCTGTACATCTCTTGCTGATATCTGAGTATATTTCTGAGGCTGCCACTGACTGATAGGCGATCGGGGGGGGGGGGGTCCTGATGTGTGTGTGAATAGCTGTACATAAATGCAATGTGTCAGGATTAAAAGCCTCCACTGTGAGTTTGGATGAAAACTGAGTCAAAGTCTTAAACAGTGAGCGGCACAAGGTCAGGCTGCACAGTAAAACTCTGCTAACAACTGATAAGGACTCTGCTTTGTATGGGTTTATTTTTATAGCTTGCCTCTGAGACAGTGAGTCCAGTGCGCAGCATATTTAGGGAGGCCGTGATCATAAACGTTATTTTGGCAGGAAAATGGGCCCCTCACCCTGGCCGAGGGGCCCTGTGCTGAAGCAGGCCGAAGCACAAGGGTCAAAGCGGCGCTGGGTGGGGGGCGCGCTGGCCTGGGTCCAGCCTGCCTGACCTTTGCCCCCTCGGGCCCCTCCCTGCCTCCCCCCCTTCCTCACCTGTCACGTTGAGCAGCTTGGGCAGGAAGCGGTTCCAGAAGGCGCAGATCTGGGCCCGGAGGCTGTGCTCGGTGCGGAGGGGCCCCGTGTTGAGCGTCACGTACTCCTGTGCGGAGGGCGAGTAGGGGGGCCACGGGGCGTCCTTCTCCGAGGGGTCGGAGGGGTTCCTGAGAGAGACAGACAGACAGACAGACCAGAAGGTGGAGCGGGTGGCTCTGGGTGGGGCTCCGGATTGGGGCCCCTCAGGGAGGGAGGGAGGGAGGGAGGGAGGGAGGGAGGGAGGGAGGGAAGGAGGCTCTCCAGCACTAAAAGAATAGATACATTTGGCTGGAGTTACACTGACTAAGTGCCTCTGTTCCGACTTGCATACAGATCCAGCTTAAGAACAAACTTACAGAACAGGCAAGGCCTAACTTGGACCTTTCACGTGTTTTGGGTCCAAGTTAGGCCATGGCTGCTAAAGAGCCTCTTTGGTTCGTAATGTGGGAAATGCCTGCCTGCCTGCCTTCCATCCATCCATCCCTTCTTTCCTCCTATCCATCCATTCATCCACCTTGCCCTTCCTTCCTTCCTTCCTTCCTTCCTTCCATCCATCCATCCATCCCCCCTCCCTTCCACCCTTCCTCCCATCCATCCATCCATCGACCTTGCCCTTCCTTCCTGCCTGCCTGCCTGCCTGCCTGCCTGCCTGCCTGCCTTCCTTCCTTCCTTCCTTCCTTCCTTCCTTCCTTCCTTCCTTCCTTCCTTCCTTCCTTCCTCCTGCCTTCCTTCCTTCCTTCCTTCCTTCCTTCCTTCCTTCCTTCCTTCCTTCCCTCCTGCCTCCTCCTCTCCCCTTCCTTCCTTCCTTCCTTCCTCCTTCTCCCTCGCTCCTTCCTTCCTTCCTTCCTTCCTTCCTTCCTTCCTGCCTGCCTGCCTGCCTGCCTGCCTGCCTGCCTTCCTTCCTTCCTTCCTTCCATCCATCCATCCATCCATCCATCCCTTCTTCCATCCATTCATCCACCTTGCCCTCCCTGCCTGCCTGCCTGCCTGCCTGCCTGCCTGCCTTCCTTCCTTCCTTCCTTCCATCCATCCATCCATCCATCCATCCATCCATCCATCCCTTCTTTCCTCCATCCATCATCCACCTTGCCCTTCCTGCCTGCCTGCCTGCCTGCCTGCCTTCCTGCCTTCCTTCCTTCCTTCCTTCCATCCATCCATCCATCCCTTCTTTCCTCCATCCATTCATCCACCTTGCCCTTCCTGCCTGCCTTCCTTCCTGCCTTCCTTCCTTCCATCCATCCATCCATCCATCCATCCATCCATCCATCCCTTCTTTCCTCCATCCATTCATCCACCTTGCCCTTCCTTCCATCCATCCATCCATCCATCCATCCCCCCTCCCTTCCACCCTTCCTCCCATCCATCCATCCGTCCACTCACCCATCTTTCCCCTCCCCTCCCCCTTGGGGGTCTGCATCCGCGCGCCCTGCCCTTCCGCCCTTCCTTTCACGCATCCTGCACGCCCTCCCTCCCTCCCTCCCTCCCTGCCCGGCTGTGCCTCGGTTACCCCGTCCGGGCAAAGTTGGCCCAGTAGCGCATCATCCTGCGGCTGAGCTGCTTCTCCTCCTGGGTGTAGTTGAGGCTGTCGTTGAGCGGCAGGCCGAAGATGAACTCGATCTCGTACCCGTGGGGGACGCCCATCCAAGGGGGCCAGATGAGGTTGGAGGCCCGGTGGTCAAAGAGGTAGGCGAAGACGGCGTTGCCGCGGGCGGCGTAGCGGGCGGCGAAGTGCATGGCGGGGCAGATGACGTTGTGGTCGCCCACGATGTCGTCCATGGCCTCGCGGTTCTTCTCGCCGTTGTCCTGGTCGCGCCAGTCGGTGTACTGCAGCAGCACGGCCTCGGTGGCGATGTCGTTGGCGTGCGGCACGCCGATGCGCACGCCCTCCAGGAAGTCCTCCCGGCTGATCAGGCTCTCGTTGTCCTTGCTGAAGCCCGGCACGCCGTAGATCAGGAAGTAGGTGCCCTCATCCTTGACCACCCCCAGCATCACCTGCGTCTCCTTGAAGTTGCCCGCGCTCAGCATGGCCTCCGGCGTGTCCGGGAAGAAGTCCCCGTCCACCACCGGCACGAAGCCGAAGCGGAAGACGCTCTTGTAGGGCAGCACCGCCCACTCCTCGTCCACCAGCTCCTGCGGCCGCTTGGACCGCAGGCAGCCCACCAGCTCCGAGTCGTTGCCCACGGGGCAGCCCAGCCGCTTGCCCAGCACCGTGGCCCGCCGCCGGCTCTCCGCCGGGGTGATGGTGGCCCAGGGCCCGTTGGGCGCCCCGCTCTGCAGGATGGCGCGGCGGAAGAGCGACCGGCTCTGTGCCGAGAGCAGGTGCATGCCCACCGAGGCCCCGCCGGCGCTCTCCCCAAAGAGGGTCACCGCCTTGGGGTTGCCCCCAAAGTACTGGACGTTGTTCTGGACCCACTGCAGGGCCAGGCGCTGGTCCAGCAGGCCCATGTTGCCCGGCGCCTCCTGGCTGCCCAGCAGCGCCAGGAAGCCGAAGGCGCCCACGCGGTAGCTGATGGAGACCAGCACCACCTTCTCCGTGTAGGTCAGGAAGCGCCCGTCGTAGACGTCCAGCGAGGAGGAGCCGCTGTAGAAGCCGCCCCCGTAGATCCAGACCAGCACCGAGGCGTTCTTGGGCCGCGGCGACGGCACCCAGACGTTCAGGTAGAGGCAGTCCTCGCTCATGTTGCGGTTGGGGTTCCACATCTCGGTGCCGTGGAAGCCCGGGTAGGTGTTGTCCACCGCTTGGAAGCAGGCCTGCTGGTAAGACGAGGCGTCCAGCACGTGGCTCCAGGGCCGGGCCGGCTCCGGGCGGCGGAAGCGCAGGCGGCCCACGGGGGGCTCCGCAAACGGCACCCCCAGGAAGGCCGAGACGTGGCCCTCCAGCACTGGCACGCGCACCCCACGCAGCCGCCCCGAGGGCGTGGACACCGTCAGCTCATCTGCCCTGGCCCAGGCGGGCAGCAGGCCGCAGAGGAAGAGCAGCAGCAGCAGCCGTGGCTCCGGGGGCCCCATGGCGCGGGGGTCCATCTGCAAGGAGGAAGAGGAAGAGGAGGGTGAGCGGGAGGGGGCTATGAGGCCCTAAGGAAGGAGGGGAGGAAGGAAGGAAGGAAGCTGGAAGACCCTGACAGAGGAAAGGAAGGAGGAGGAGGTGATGGTTGTGGAGGAGGAAGTGGCTAGAAGACTGCGGAGTAAGGCAGCAGAGGGAAGACCCTAAGGAAGGAGGAAGAAGACAAGAAGGAAGGAAGGAAGGAAGGAAGGAAGGAAGGAAGGAAGGAAGGAAGCTGGAAGACCCTGACAGAGGAAAGGAAGGAGGAGGAGGTGATGGTTGTGGAGGAGGAAGTGGCTAGAAGACTGCGGAGTAAGGCAGCAGAGGGAAGACCCTAAGGAAGGAGGAAGAAGACAAGAAGGAAGGAAGGAGGGGAGGAAGGAAGGAAGCTGGAAGACCCTAACAGAGGAAAGGAAGGAGGAGGTGGTGATGGTTGTGGAGGAGGAAGTGGCTAGAAGACTGCGGAGTAAGGCAGCAGAGGGAAGACCCTAAGGCAGGAGGAAGAAGACCCAAAGGAAGAAGGGAAGGAAGGAAAGGAAAGGAAAGGAAGGAAGCAAGCTGGAAGACCCTAACAGAGGGAGGAAGGAAGGGGGGGGGGAGGGAGGGAAGGAAGCTGGAAGACCCTAACAGAGGAAGGAGGAGGTGGTGATGGTTGTGGTGGTGGAGGAGGAAGTGGCTAGAAGACTCTGAGTAAGGCAGCAGAGGGAAGACCCTAAGGAAGGAGGGGAGGAAGGAAGGAAGCTGGAAGACCCTAACAGAGGAAAGGAAGGAGGAGGTGGTGATGGTTGTGGAGGAGGAAGTGGCTAGAAGACTGCGGAGTAAGGCAGCAGAGGGAAGACCCTAAGGCAGGAGGAAGAAGACCCAAAGGAAGAAGGGAAGGAAGGAAAGGAAGGAAGGAAGCTGGAAGACCCTGACAGAGGAAAGGAAGGAGGAGGAGGTGATGGTTGTGGAGGAGGAAGTGGCTAGAAGACTGCGGAGTAAGGCAGCAGAGGGAAGACCCTAAGGCAGGAGGAAGAAGACCCAAAGGAAGAAGGGAAGGAAGGAAAGGAAAGGAAAGGAAGCAAGCAAGCAAGCTGGAAGACCCTAACAGAGGGAGGGAGGAAGGAGGGGGGAGGGAGGGAAGGAAGCTGGAAGACCCTAACAGAGGAAGGAGGAGGGATTGATGGTTGTGGTGGTGGAGGAGGAAGTGGCTAGAAGACTGTGGAGTTAAGGCAGCGGAGGGAAGATCCTAAGGAAGGAGGAAGCTGGAAGACCCAAAGGAAGGAAGGAAGGAGGGGGGAGGGAGGGAGGGAAGGAAGGAAGGAAAGGAAAGGAAGCTGGAAGACCCTAAGGAAGGAAGAAGGGAAGGAAAAGGAAGGGAAGGAAACTGGAAGACCCTAACAGAAAGGAAGGATGCAAGGAGGAGGTGGTGATGCTGGTGGTGGAGGAGAAGGAGGTGGCTAGAAGACTCTGAGTAAGGCAGAGGAGGAAAGGTCCTAAGAAAGGAAGGAAGGGAGGAAGGAAGGAAGGAAGGAAGGAAGGAAGGAAGGAAGGAAGGAAGGAGGAAAGGAGGAAGGAAGGAAGGGAGGGAGGGAGGGAGGGAGGGAGGAAGGAAGGAAGGAAGGAAGGAAGGAAGGAAGGTTTCCAAGAAAGGAAGGAAGGAAGGGAGGGAGGAAGGAAGGAAGGAAGGAAGGAAGGAAGGAAGGAAGGAAGAGAAAGCAGCAGCTGAAGGGCCCTGAGGAAGAGGGAGGAGGCAGCTCCCTGCTGTGCCCCATAGAGGGAGGCCCCGGGGCCCCTATCAGGCCAGGCCAGGCCAGCCTTGCTGCTCCCGTCTTATCAACAGGCGGAGAAAGGAGGGGGAGAGGAGGGGCCAAGCCCTGACCTGACCTGACCTGGGGAGTGCCTCCTGGCATTGCAGGTGAGGACCCCTCCCTTCTCGGCTGGACCTCTTGCTTGAGGGGTGGCGGGGTCACGGGTGGGTGTCGCAGGGGCCCCAAGGCTCCCTTGTTCCTTCAGGACAACAGAAGACGCCCAAAAGTGGGGGGGGGGAGCTGGGACCCAGGAGGGTTGCCACCCCACTTTGCCCCCCCCCCCCCCAGCCCTCCTTAGCAGCCTACCAGGTGGACCCTTGGGCTTTGATCCGGGAAGAAGGAGGGAGGAGGCTGCAAGGGGCCAAAGTGCACGGGGGCAAAAGGGCAGCCTCGAGTTGCCGCAAATCAATGTGTTTCTTCCCCTCCAGGAATCCTAGAGTCATAGAGTTGGGAGAGACCTCCTGGGCCACCATCCAGTCCAACCCCATTCTGCCCAGAAGCAGGAACATTGCATTCAAAGCACCCCCGACAGATGGCCATCCAGCCTCTGCTTAAAAGCTTCCAAAGAAGGAGCCTCCACCACACTCCCTCCGGGGCAGAGAGTTCCACTGCTGAACGGCTCTCACAGTCATAGAATCCTAGAGTCATAGAGTTGGGAGAGACCTCCTGGGCCACCATCCAGTCCAACCCCATTCTGCCCAGAAGCAGGAATATTGCATTCAAAGCACCCCCGACAGATGGCCATCCAGCCTCTGTTTCAAAGCTTCCAAAGAAGGAGCCTCCACCACACTCCCTCTGGGGCAGAGAGTTCCACTGCTGAACGGCTCTCACAGTCATAGAATCCTAGAATCATAGAGTTGGAAGAGACCTCGTGGGCCATCCAGTCCACCCCCTTCGGCCACGAAGCAGGAGCCTTGGTGAGGTTACAAAATGAGTAGGAAGCACCTGCAGGTCCCCCCAAGGAAGGTCTCGCCCGGGTGGGCCCTTTGGCTTGGGAGAGGGGCCCCTCCCCTCCCTCCCTCCCTCCCTCCCTGCAGAGAAAGGGGAAGCCAGGCTCTGTGCACGGACCACTAGTGCAGGCACCAATCCCCCTCCCCTCCCCCTCTCCTTGTCCTTCCCTCCCCTTGCCCTCAATGTCCGGGCCCAAAACTGAGGGCGAGGCTCTGGAAGGGTCAAGGAGAGGGCCGTGTGTTTGGGGACCCTTGCCATGCGGTGATGTTGGGAAGGCTTCCGTCATACCCTCCAAGGAGGGCCCCCAGCTTGCTCTTCCTGCAGCCAATGGAGCCCCCCCCCCTCCGCATCCTCCTGCGTCCCCCTGAGAAAGTCTGGGTCTGGGGCCGGAGAGAGAGCGGGGTCTCCACCCTCTGGTTTGGGCCCCGAGTCCAAGCCTCTTTGAATGGCCGCCTCCATCTCCCCATTTATTCCCCCTCTGGCCCCATGGGCCCCCTAGCCTTTGAACAGAAGGGAGGGGGGGTCATAATTCTTGGAAGCGCTGGGGAAAGAGAAGAACATGTGGGGCAGGAAGAGGTGCAGGGTTTCCATTCCAGGATGTTTGCCCAACAGTTGTCCTGCTATTAAAAGCTCCCCGGGCAAAAATAGACCGGCTCCGTCCGGGCAGGGATGCGCTGGGGGGCCCAGGCATCGAGGCATCGAGAGAGAGAGAGATGACACCAGTGCTGGGGGGCAGTCTGGGGTGGGGGTGGGGTCAAAAGAGCTGCCCTCCCCCATAATGGGGCTGCCAAGGGAGGGCTGGGGCCCATGTTACCCCAAACTGGGCTGCATCCCCCCCATCATCAGGAGCCCCGAAGGGTCACCCCTCCCCAGAATGCACTGCCCCCCACCTGCTCTGAGGCTCAACCCGGGATTAGCACGCCGAAACCGAACCCCTTCCTTGGCAGACTCTGCATCCGGCAGAAGCATCCAGCCCAGAGTCACACGGCCACCCGAATCCCTCTTGCCGCCCCACGGCTGTTGTATGTGTGTGCGTGTCTGGGGGGGGGGGGGGTGCGACCTTCTGCCTGAAGTTTGGGAAGCAGGAGAGACACGTTTGGCTCCCTTTCCACCCTCCCGCCATGTTTTCCTTGGGCCTTCCCCATCTTTGCACAAAGCTGACCAACGGAATCAGTTCTGCCTTGACTCGCCGACCTCCAGGGGATCTGCTGCAGGTGGATTCGGGTCACCTATACATATAGGATGAGGCCCCCTCCATATAGGATGAGACCCCTCCCCATAGTATGAGACTCCTCCCCACAGGATGAGACCCCCTCCCTATAGGATGAGGACCGTTTCCATAGGATTATGCCCCTCTCCATAGGATGAGACCCCCTCCCTATAGGATGAGACCCCATAGGATGAGGACCTTTTCATAGGATGATGCCCCCTCCTCATAGGATGATGCCCCCTCCCCTAGGATGAGACCCCCTCCCTATAGGATAAGGACTTTTCCCATAGGATGATGCCCCTCCCCATAGGATGAAACCCCTCCCCATAGAATGAGGACCTTTTCATAGGATGATGCCCCCCTCCTCATAGGATGAGACCCCTCCCCATAGGATGAGACTCCCTATAGGATGAGGGTCTTTTCCATAGGCTGCTGCCCCTCTCCATAGGATGAGACCCCTCCCATGGCATTTAGGGATGCAAGAGCGGACCCTTGCTACTCCCATTGGGAGGCTTCACTAGAAACTTGGACCCTCTGCTGGGTTCCCAGGAGACCCCCGCCCCCCTCTTCCTGCATTCCCTTTGCTCACTACCTACCTCCTGGATGCCCCAGACTATGGGTTTTCTTGCATAATGGCAGAAGGGGGTTGGACTAGATGGCCTTCTGAGGTCCCTTCCAAGAAGGGACCCCAGAAGGCCATCTAGTCCAACCCGCTTTTGCCATTATGCAAGAAAAGTGCAATTAAAGCACCCCCAAGATCGGGTCTACAGGGGCCATAGAGTCCCCCCCATCCTACAGGATCACAGAATCATAAAATAATAGAGTTGAAAGAGATGACATGGGCCATCTAGACCAACCCCCTTCCATTCAGGAAAAGCACAGTCCAAGCACCACTGACAGACATCCAGCTTCTGTTTAAAGGCCTCCGTGGAAGGAGCCTCCATCAGACTCCAAGGCAGAGAGTTCCACTGCTGAACAGCTCTTACACACAGGAAGTTCTTCCTCACGTTCAGGTGGAATCTCCTTTCCT